CCCCCTCCCTCCCTCCCTCCCTCCCTTCCTCCCTCCCTCCTTCCCTCCCTCCGTCTTTATTTTCCCCGCCTCCTCTATGGGACTGATTCCCGTGTCCCTGCCGACTCTCCCCACAGGAAACAGGGCTACTGCGGCAAACTAACCTACATGTCTCACGAGATCTACAAAAATCAGGACTTTTACGCGGCGGCCGTGGATATATGGGCCCTTGGCGTCATCCTTTTCATCATGCTTACGGGTGGGCAGATGGGAGAGAGGGAGGAAGGGAGGGAGGGGCGCAGAGAGTCGGGAGGGAGCGAGGGCGCTTCGTGATGGACGCCGAGTCTCTCCTACCGCCAAAGTGTCGCTTACTTCCCCCCCTCCCCCCCTCCCTCCCTCCCTCCCCCACGGCATTCCCCCTCGTGGAGACCCCCGCCGAGATCGATCCCCGCTTCCGGATGCTGGCGGAGGGGCGGCTCTCGGAGCTGATGGACCTTTGGCGCGTGGACTTCCTGACCCCAGAGGCCCGGGACCTGCTGGTCGGCCTCCTGCAGGTCGATCCCCGCGCCCGCCTGACCCTGGAGGAGATCCGAGGGCACCCCTGGGTGGGGGGGCCGGTGGCGGCGGCATTGGCGGGGGAGGGAGGACGGGGGGGCAAGGGGGGGAGGAGGGAGGTGGGCCATCGAGGGGGATAGGAAGGAAAAAGGAGGGGAGGGGGGGAGACGCCTGCTTAGAGAAGCCTGATGGGCGGCATGGAGGCGAGTACCCCAGCGATAGGGTCGAGGGGGAGGGGGGAGGGAGGGCAAAGCACTAGATGTGTGTAAAAGTGTACAGGAGAGGCAGTGCTGCCTCAGTGACTATCTAGATAACTTGTAGGGGGGGAGGAAATTAGAAATTAGGATCACGCAACTACCCCCGAGAGAAAAAATGAACAAATTTAAAGCAAGCGACAATAATGGGACGACCAACTCTGAATGTGGCTTGGGACGAGCCAGATATTCACGGAGTGAAGAAGTGTTGCGTGTGCGTCCACGCGGGTGCCTGCCTACCTGCATGCGCGCATGGGCAGGGAACGAGAGGGGCCACGGCCGCCGGGTGGATGCCCCGGCAGGACTGTGGGCGGAAAGGAGGGACCGATGGGGGCGTCGGATGGGGGTTGCCGACCTGGACGGAGGGAGGCGGAGAGTCTTGGGGCCTGAGTGCCTGTGGCCGGACGGGGGGGACGGGGCGAGGCAGCCCGCGCTCGAACCGAGCGAGTACGTCCACGCTCCCGCAGTCTGACTGACCAGATCCTTTACATACATACACATACACCACCCTCCCGCAGGACGGAGAGCCTCCCTTCCCTCCCTCTTCTTCCTCGCCCTGGCTCCTCTTCCCCTATACCCACACCTACCCTTGATCAAAAAGGGCTGGCGCGGTTCCGTTTGCCCTCGAAGACGTGGCGGGCGATACATGGCGGAGGCGGAGAAATTTCCTGGAACATTCTTAGCTGGTAAGGAAGAGAGGCGGAAGCAGGGCATAGGGCGATAGTGCGGACGCGGCCGTGGCAAGCGCAGCAGCAAGGAGGGAATCGGGCCAGCCAGGAGCAGCCTCAGGGAGGGGAAGAGGGAGTGGAGTCAGCTTCCGCCCGTCCACCGGTCGCCTACAGCAGCGCCCGTGCCTTGGGGCCGCCGGAGAAGCGCAGTCTCGGCGGGGCTTGCCAGGGGCTCGTGGGTGCGACGCGACCTGCCGAGGCGCCTTTTCCTTCCCGGGGGACATGGCCTCGTCTGCGCCGGGCGCGGGCAGTGGAGGGACGAGGAGGGGGGACACGCGGCCGGCAGTCGTTGTGGACCCGGAACCCTTCCCCGCCCCCCGCATCGCCCCGGGCGTTATCCGCGACTGTCAGGTCTTGGAAGGACCTGCCCGCCCCCCGGCGCGATGGCGGGCCTTTGGAGGCCGCTCCCAGGAGAGCGTGCGGTGGCTCCGGTGCCTGGTCTCGGCGGAGACGGGGCGGGCCTACTGCTTCACCCGCACCTTGCGGGAGTGCATCTTCGGGGTTGTGCGGCATGGGGTAACGCTGGAGAAGGACGCGGGGGCCGGGGGCGTGTACCGGCTCTGTCCAAGCCAGCCGGTGGCGATCAAGTGCGTGAGCAAGCAGAAAATAGAGGAGGGGCGGGGCCGTCTCCGGGAGAACCCGATCGACGAGCTCGCCGCCTTGCAGATGGTGGGGGCGGGGGGGGGGCATCAGCACGTCCAGCGGCTACTGGAATGCCTGGAGGACGACGAGGCGATCTACGCGGTCTCCCCCTTTTACCAGGGGGGGGAGCTGTTCGCGGTGATCGAGGCGCGGGGGGGCGGCTTGCCCGAGGCCCGGGCCCGGACGCTTTTTTCGCAAATTCTGTCGGGCTTGGCCTTCATGCACGACCGACGTCTCTGCCATAGGGACATGAGTCTGGAGAACATCCTGGTTGACGGCCAGGACGGGGTCATAATCGACATGGGCATGTGCCTGCGGGTGCCCCTCCCTCCGGCCCTCCCTCCCTCCCATCCTGACGACCCGGAAACCCCGCGGGTACTCCTACGCAAGCAGGGCCAGTGCGGGAAGATCACGTACATGGATCCCGTGGTTCTGGAGGACAAGGACTTCGACGGCTTTGCGGTGGACATGTGGGCCTGCGGGGTCATTCTATTCATCCTCCTGGCAGGGGTGCCGCCGTTGGAGCTGCCAGCTTTGACGGACCCTAGGTACCGGATGATTCAGGCGGGGAAGTTGGGAGAGTTGATGGACGTATGGGAGATGCGGATTTCGCGGGAGGCGAAACACTTGCTGGAAAGCCTGCTCAAGGCAGTGCCGGAGGAGCGGGCGAAGATGGAGGAGGTGATTAGACACCCGTGGCTGACGGGGTAGGGGCGTTGAAGAGGAGGCGCTTCGTGCACGCTGGCTACACAAGCACAGGGGGAGGCGTAAAAAAATTGAAGTAGCTTTGAAAAGCACCGCTTTGGCAGCGAGTAAACTGATACGTGCACGTACATAAAGAACTGAATGACTGGTAATTATTAATCGTTGCATGCCGGGAGCGTGCTTGTGTCCTGGCTGCAGATCGCGAGGGGCCTCGCTAAGGCAACTTCACGGCCCATCCTGTCACTTGCGTCTGAACGTGGCCACATGTACACTCGCACAGAACATGCTTTTCGCAAAGGACTTAAAATTTTGCTCCCTGATGTCCCACTTACTGCCAGCTTTGGCATGTTGTCCCTTGGTGGCACGTTTGGGAGGTTATATGCCTCCCTCCAGGCTCTCGTCTCTTCATGTGCCAATACCTCTCATGCTTTTTTTTCCAGCGTCTAAAGATTGGATCGGATGGCAACATAATTACAGCTCAGTGCTTTTTCTTTCTCTATGACGTTGTCAAAATTCGTAGGTTGACATCCCACCCGTATTCTTCGCCTCCTCTTTGCTGTCCTCTGGTGACCTCATAACGACAAACCGCAACATGCCATCACCCTCCTCAGTGGGCTCTGTCTCCACTGAACCCCATCTTTCGACCCTACCCGGTACTTATGTCCAAGATTTCCACCAGGATCTGGACGCTCTTCGGCGAATGTCTTACAATTCTTTGGGTCGCACAGACATGAAGGTGTCTTCCCTGTCTCTGGGTGCTTCCTCGCTGGGCGGCATGTTTGCAGCGGTCGAGGACGAAGACGAAGCTGTCGAGGTTGTCCTTCGTGCTCTCAAAGCAGGCATTAATCTGATCGACACAGCCCCTTGGTACAGAAAGAGTGAACGCCTCCTGGGCGGGGCCCTTCGACGCGTGCCACGGCAGGCTTACTACATCAACACCAAAGTGGGTAGGTACCCGCCCCAAGAGAATGAGGATGAGGGTGGCATGTACAACATGTTCGATTTCCGCGCGGAGAAAGTCGTCGAGTCCGTGCACGCCTCCCTCGAGATCCTGGGGGTGCGGTATCTGGACTGTGTACATGTGCACGACCCGGAGTTCTCCCCGGACTTGAGGATCGTCCTGGAGGAGACCTTGCCCGCCCTTGCAAAGCTGAAGGAGGAGGGCCTGGTGCGTTACATAGGGGTGGCTGGATACCCCCTCCCTGTTCTGACTCGCCTGGTCCGAGAAGCCCCGGTGTCCCTGGACACTTGCCTTACCTACGCGCACTGCACCCTGCTAGACGACTCCCTCCACACCAGCGGCTTTCTCGCCTCCTTGGAGGAGCGGGGCGTGGGGCTTATCAACGCCAGTCCCCTAGCCATGGGCCTGCTCACCCATTCCACCCCCCCTCCCTGGCACCCGGCCTCCGAGGAGCATCGCGCGCTCTGCCGCCAAGCCGCCGCCTTCTGTCGGGAACACCCCCACGGCCCATTCGACCTGGCGCGCCTCGCCTTGCGCTTCACCCTTGCTCAGCCCCGCGTCCCCACCACCCTCCTGTCCACCGCGTGCCTGCGGGAGCTGGACGCCAACCTCCTGGTCCTGAGCAGACCCTTGACCGCCGTGGAGTCCGAGGCGTCGCGGCGCGTGCGAGAGGAAATCCTGGCGCCGGTGCAGGGCTGCGGGTGGGAGGGCGTGGAGGTAAAGGCGTACTGGGCGGGTGTGGACAAGGGGGAGGTGATGCGACGTCTGTATAAGGGGAGAGGTGGAGGTGCGGGGAAGGGGGGAGAGAAAAGCGCGGGGGGGAGCTTTTCGAGCACACATGGGGAGCCTGTTACGCAGCGGTGCCACGTGAAAGGACTCCCAGGAACTTGACAAAGAAATGCGCATCGCAGCAGGCACGTCGACTACCATGGCCCTCTCCTGAGGCTTTCCTCTCCGCCGACTTAGCTCCTCTTGCTTTTGTCTCAGTTACCTCCCTCCCAATTGCGAGAGAAACCCCCCTCCTCCTCAGCTCGTCTTCTTCGATCCCTTTCTCAGCGCCTCCTTCTCCTCCTCCAAGATCACCACACGTTTCTTCAGACCCTCCACCTCTCCCATCTTCTCCCGTAGAGTCAGAATCACCCCTTCCTTCTCCTTCCCCTCTCGCACGCCCTGCTCCACTGCCTCCCGCAAACGCCTCAGGACCCCCTCCTTCTCCTTGCTCTCCTTCGCCGCCGCGTCCCTCTCCTCCTCCGCCCTTTTCAACCGCTCTTCCAGAGGACCCACGTCCATCAACAACGTCTGAATCCGCAAAAGCACCACCCAAAGCACACAGCCGAGCACTGACAGCCAAAAATTCCGCTCTGCCCGCCAGCGCTTGCACCGAAGTTCCTTTTTCTCGGCGAAGAAATGCGCTTGATTCTCCGCCCTCCGCGCGTTCAAGGAGTCGTTTGCGGAGAAGATCAGGCCCAGCAGTGCAATCAAAATAATGATGGCGATCAAGGAAATGCTTGCGCCCCCGTAGTCAAAGCGTAAAAAAGAGATCCTGTTGAGGGCATTCTGGGTGAAAGGCAAGCGAGATGAAGAGCGTTCTGCATGACAGAGTTGACAAGTGCTTCGCATGTTCCGATACAAAAAAGGTGAGCTGTCCCATTCAGCACAGGCGCTCCTGTGCTTTCAAAGCACCATTTCCGCACCACCTCTAGACGAGCAAGCACGTACCAGGATGCCCACACGGATCTTGGCTCGATACCGGGCGGGGAAAGGTAGCGAGATCAGCACCAGGAAGACCAGAGGAATTGGAAAAATAAAGTAGAGGAAAAGCTGCCAGGGATTAGAGCCAGAACGCCCCGTGGATTGCATGTATGCATTCGGTTGCTCCCCCTCGTAGATGGCCATGCGTCCTGAGAGTGAAAATGCTGCCAAAAGGCCGCGTTGGATGGAACTTATGTTGCGAAAGGAAGAAAAAATGGGAGAAATGTGTTCAACTGGTCAAACATGGACAAGCCGAGCTTTAGGAAGCTAACAAGGTGTAGAAGCGGCAACTTTACGCCAAAAAATGCCATAATCATGGCACATATTCTTGCCGAAGGAAGGGAATCACAGACAGAACATAAAACCTCGTGTATCGCCCATAGAACAAAATCGATACGGGGCACCAAAACGCGAATATTCGGCCGTTGCCCAACTCTTTCTTTCTCCATTTACAGTTTTGTGTAATGGAAGGGCTCTTTCTTTGTGGCATCGATGCGCTAGTTCAGGAAAAGGAATATTTCGTGTTGGAAGACTTGTGACGTAGCGCGGGGACAGACGCTTGACCGGACAAACAAAACGAAGCAACAAAGGGCACGGTTGTGGGAACGTCAAATCATGCGTCGTGACTCATTCCATAAGCTTGGCCCTCGGAAATAGAAACCCTCCTTTCCACCAGTCGATAAATCCGTGCGCCCTCCCGTGTGCTTGCTTCTCCTCAGAAGGAATCAACAAGGGCATTTGAAAGGGTGGAAGAGTGCATGCCTGCGCATGTCCTTTCCGATTGATAATTTCTTTCGTTCGTTCTCAACCATGTGAAACGTCCTCACTCCTTCGTTGCCGTTCTGCTGAATTTCTGGCTCCTGCCTGTCATATTCTCCCTGTATCCATCCCTTACTCACGCTCCTCGCCCTCCTCAAGTGGTTGGGGAGGCGCCAAAGCAGGCGCGACTCGTTCCTGCTCCTGCTGTCTTGCTTCTTCCTTCTGTTGCTGATTTAGCAGTTGTTGCTGGTGGTATTGCCATTGCAGCTGCTGCTGATGTTGGTAGTCCGCAAGCAACTGGTGGCAAAGGGAGCCCAATTGCTCGGGGCCTTGCACGCGATAGCCGTGCCCGGGAGCCGGTGACTCGCCTTCTTTCCTTACTCCTTCCTTCCCTTCCTCCCATCCATCGAATGGTTCCCCCATGGCTAGCTCGAGCACAGAAGGGCGGGACAGGAGCCGACTGAAAGCCGGAGTTAGCTCGTGGCAGGACTCAAAGAGGCTCTGCCGGCAGAAGGCGTACAGGCCCAAACGGGCGCGGGACATGGCCACCACCAGTCGTCGCACGTCCCGGATGTGACCGATGTTCCTTGTGCGGACCAAGGAGAGGATCACGTAGTCGTTTTGTTGCCCCTGGTAACGGTCGACCGTTTCAACGGCCGCCGGGCGTCCGAAGTAGAAGCCGCCCTGGCTCCCACATCTTTGCCGAAGCACATCCTCCAGAAGACTCTTCTGTCCATTGTAAGTGGTCAAGATGGAGATCTTCTCCGCGGGATACCCGCACAGACGTAGATACATATAGAGGGCCACGCAGTACTCCGCCTCCCCTAGGTTCTGGTAGAAGTAGGGAGAGGGCTGGCTCTCGCCTTGGCCCCGGAAGTCCTCCACATTAATGCACTGGAAAGAGTGGGCCATGCCCGGGTTCGCCAACAAGTAGCGAGGGAGGGACGTCACGTTCGGCAGGTTCCCCAAGTCCTTATACCGCCAGGCGTAGAGGGCGGCCAAGGAGGGCCGGGCCCGTCCCTGTCTGTCGAGTTGGACGGTCTTGACGCCAAGCCGGACGAAGCGCGCAAAGAGAGATTGGTCCAGACGGGCATACTTTTGCAAGGCTTGGTTTTGAACGATGGGGGGAAGCTGGTGGTGGTCGCCGATCAAGACGACGCGCTTGA